TTTAGATCGCGATCGCGGTCATCATCGGCGATCAATCGGAACCCGAATCAAACTGTGAGGAACATGGCCTCCGTTGGCGAGGAGAAATGAGGACACGGCGAGGGTTCGAGGCTGGAGCACACAAGGATCCACAAGAGGCCAGTCTCGAGCACTGGCGTTGATTCAGTGAGTCCACGAGATACATGAGCAGTACATTAATAAAGGCCATAAGAACTCGTAGTATGGAATGGGGAGAATGTAGTGGCGACGAGAGAATGTAATGGGGATGAGGGAGATGGAACGGAGCGGTAGCGACAAGATGTTTACATGAACCAAACAAGCGTACATACGAAAGGCCGCCACCACTGACCACTTGACCATTGCACCGACCATGTCCGGCATGGAATCAAGCCCCATGTCCCTCCACACAGCATGGCCGTCATGTGAATCAAGCCTAATACGCCAGTTTGCGACACCTGTGGAAGGCAAAAAATACTTATTCCCTACTAAGAGCTCAAAAGGAGGATTTGTATCCGACTTAGCCCGCCTAGCTCAATCGGATAGAGCGTCAGACTCTTATCGAGATCGGTTCATTGAATATCATCTGAAGGTTGCGAGTTCGACCCTCGCGGTGGGCTGTAAATCCATGGACCGATTCTGGTGTTTTTCGCTACACAACTCCTTCCGTGCAATTAATAAGGTGTTTTTCAATCTTTTATCCTTTTCCTTGTTTTTGTTCCATTCGTATCTGTCCTATATATCGCTTGTTACTTATGTCTCTTCTCACATTTTATTCTCAAGAGTCAAGGCCTTACATTCCGTCGGCTCTAGAAGACGTATGGGTCAAGTCGGAAGGTGCAGTTCCACAGCGGTGGTCTGGTTTCTGTCCGAACCGCGCGCAATTGAAGGGGCCACTCGTTATCACAGGACCCGGACGAACCAGCTGACCGTGCCTGACAAAGGCGCCCGCTACACCGTATAACCGCTGTTTACTTGCTTAGTGGTATGTGGATTAAAGTGCGCTCGGCACCGTATTGACATCGGGTGATGTGATACCGCTCCGATTAAACATGTACAGAGAGACTGATACAGGACCTGCCAAATCTAATGCAATAAACAACACCCCAATCGATGCGAGCATAGTAGAAGATCCCGGAAACCACGATAACCTCCCATCTGAACCTAGCATGCACTATACGCGGATGTCCGATGCCTGTTTACAAAGCGTATCATGAGAGCAACAGTAACTTCAGCCCGAGTAACTGTTGATCTAGGCCAAATAGTGCACATGCACCGGGTGAGGTAGGAGCGTTCACGGAACATTCACGCAAACAGGTGCTATCGAGTTTCTCGCAATAATCGAAAATCGAGTTGGTCACCTCGTTAGAATCAAGACATCGTTTCTTTCGTATAGCGCTCAGCGCTCATTCGTGTGCAAGTTTGTAAAGCGCCGACCCGGTCCTTAGTGCTTATTAGCTGTTCTTGTTTTACGGGAGATGGAAGTTTCATAGAGGCCGCTTACATAATAGCTGTGGCGAGTTCATGAGCTGAGCCAGACGAGGACAGAAATGCAGCTTACGGAGGCTCCGCAATGGAGCGCAGGAACATGCAACACAGCCTCGACGGGACGTCTTAGTGACGTCGGAGCGGTTCAAAGCCCCAGGCCTGTCATTGAGAAAGCCACAAACGAGAAGACCTTCGCGCAAATGGCCCATAAACAAAAGCGGTGTAGTTACGAAAAGCTGTGAGGATGATTGTTGCGGGTGGGGTCGGCAGGTTAGCGACTGGCAGATCGGGATCAATCGGGAAATGAAAAGCTGTTGTTCAGCTGTTCTGGACTGTACTTATATACGATCCACCTGTTTACCTGACAGCCATTCCACTTTTGTTATGCACGCTGCTACTGCGATGACAGACGTTTTCAACGACAGCAAGACGTTCTGGTCGGTCGACGAGCTTCAGTACGTGCGCCACAGGCTCTTTCTTGGTCGACCTCCACTCAATTTGCTTTGCTCAGGTCCCCCACCCGCCGTATCCAGTTTCACGGTAAGCGAGGACAGAAGAAAATGATTGAAAGTAGAAAAAGTACTCAATCCGCCGCCAGTCGTTTCGTCTTCTGCGCTGCCGACGCCGCCACACTCATCAAAGCCACCAAACCCGTACGTCGTCATTCGCGTCGAGGGCCACTCCACACCGTTACTCAAGACGGGCGCTGTGTCGCGCAAGCACGAGCCCTCATGGCACGAGAATCTATTCCCGTGAGCACACACCGCGCAACGCACTGCTGACGCTCACACGTTTGTCATTTTTTTTTCAGATGCACCATCAAGCGCACCGCCGAGATCACGTTTGCTGTCAAGCACCATGCGACGTGGCCAAGGACATCCAGCGACCCCGTGCTCGCCGTCTCAGAGTCGTACTCGCTGGAACACCTGCTGGCCATGCAGGGTGAGAACGATCGGAGAGCCAGTTGAGTGTGGCGTTGTTGGTCCTATGGGGATGTGTGTTCCCGCGTGGCTGACCTTTACATGTTTTTAAGCTGTAACCATCCCTTTACGCCGTGCACTCCAGTCCTCTCGGCCCAGTTCACCGCTGCTCGTAAGAAGAGCATCGATTTCATCTTCGAAGTCGTCACCGCGCACTCCAACATCGCCAGACACAACCTCCCCGCCGACACTGACGATCAACATCCGCGAGATCGCATCCATCGAAACGGCACATGCTGCGCAACGGCTCAGCCAGCAGCTGCTCCTCGCCGCATCATCCGCATCACCAGGCCGGGTCGCCGACATCCGCTGTCAAAAGACGTTCACCGTCTCTTTCGACGCCACAACGACGACAATAACAGCAGCTGGGAAGAGCGGGGTGGTGTCGCCTGATACAGGCACAACAACAGCACCAGCAGCAACAAACGTTGCGAAGGGGGAGCAGAGGGAGTCGACGCCGATGCCAGCCATTGCGATACCCACCATCACCATCACACCGCAGCCCGGCTCATCATCACCATCATCGTCTGAAGCCTCAGTGCATTCGGCGTGATCTTCTCGTTCTCCCTGCACTTATTTGCATTAGAGTTTGGCCGTAAGCACCAGCACTTCAACCCAATTTATCTATCCCTTTGGCTCTGGCGGAATTAATGTATGCGATAATAATGCTAGCTTTATACGGTCGGTCTGTAGCTGCTTATTCTTGGGTCTTCTTACCTCCCTCCTGCATTGCTATCTGCTGCTGTCGTGTTGTCCATTTTCCTCTCTTCTCTTTCTTCCCTTCCTCTTTCTCTTGCTCCGTATTAGGATACATTTTTTGGTCGACAAAGGCATATTATGACACACAGAAGACGAATATGATATCTTTCGACAATACCCGTCGTTCGTTGCCTGGATTCTTCCGTGCTGCTGGTGCCAAAATGCCAACTAATATCATCGACGACATAGTACGTAGGTAGGTAATAATTATAAACGGCAGCTGGCGAGGATGCGTTCGCCAGGTAGCCAGGCAGCCGGTCAGTTTGTCCAAAGGCGCACATATGCAACATGTAAACAAGGCGCTCTCAGTCCGCTTTTTCTGTCTCCGATCAACAGCAGCAACTTTACGCGGGCAGTTCGAACTTCTGGCCCTGCAGTACTCTGCAAGACAATCAATACCCAACACATAGAATGACGGAATGGGCACATACTTCGTGACGTAGACGTAGAAAAAGTCAATGTACAAACCCGTTTGCACAATGCCCGCTGTCACAGCGATAGGATCAACCTGCCCCTCTGTGAAGTACCTGCACGCAACCTAGCATCAGCACACATACAATCAAAGTCACAAACGAAAAACACGTGAAAAGAATCAATCAGAATGTGCATGGTAAGATTCAAAAAAAAATCGACTGATAAAACAAGAGCTCGCGTGATCCCTCCAAAAACGCACCGGTATATCCAGTTGGGAATGTAGAGCGCGCGGTAGGCGCCGAGAGCGGCGAGATAATGCGTCGTGATGGTCTCGGCCTCCCCAGTGCGCTGGAGAATGAACAGCTGCGGGAGGATGGCGACGGACTCTAGGAAGACCGAGAAGGACCAGAACACCTCGATGACGGAGAACTCGTAGTTGAAGATGAGGCCGAGGATGACGCACGGACCGACGAGGTACTCGACGCGGAATGTGTCGATCGACGGGTCATGTGAGGGCCTGCGTTACGACCGAGCGTCAGCAAGCAGCACATTTCGTGCAGTCCCCCGTCGTAATATTTTCCGGTTGCACGAAGGAGACGGAAAAGAGGGAAGAAGGCGCACCGGTAGCGGAACTTCATGAGATATAGGATGTAGCAGCTGCTCGCGATGAAGAAGACCTTCATGATGAAATTGTAGAACGAGACCCAGCGGGCGAACAAGTCCAGATAGCGCGTCACGAACACGGCAACATACAGCGCCTGTGTCTTGAACGAAATGCCTAGTCCATCGCGCTTGTCAGTAAAGCAATGCACACGACACAGCGCGCGCTTTTGCTTGTCCGCGTGTCTGAACCGATGTTCCTCACCTCGACATGAGCGCGATGTGTATATTTTGTGCAGGAGAATAAGGATCGACGCGAGATGGGACAAGTCGCCTGCAAATACACAAGTTACCCGCGATTTAGCAAACGCACGGACGGGCGCAAGGGAATAAGACGTGCCCAGCAGCCTGAACAAATTCATGATGGACTACCACGTAAGGCGCGGAGGTCGTGCAAATGTTGTCGTTGCAAAGTATATCTCAAGCTGAGCGAATATTTATAGGTCCGCTGGCCAGAAAAACGAGCAGGTTTGTGAATGGGCTCCGACTGAGAGGCTCAGCGCAAGTCGGCGACGAAAAGAAGTTGGCGTGGATGCAAGCAAGCAATGAGAGCAGGAAGCGACGTGTAACTGTTTGATCTCGGGCTGTTGATCTGCACGTTCAAATCAAAACAAATCATAATTATTCTTGTTTCTCGCCACCACCCATCCTATCTACTCTGTTCTTCGTGGAAAAAACTCCAGAATGATTGCACTACGTTACACGGTCCAGGCAAGTCAGGTGTCCGTCGCTTCCGCTTGACATGATGTTCTAGTAAAAGGGTCGACCTGCCACTCTCGACCGTCTGTTCGTCTCGTTGTAGCCCCGTTGATCCCCTCCACTTGAACCCCAGTCGTCTGAAAAACTCCAATGCGTCGCAGCGAGATCACCGCGCTGCATCGTAAGGCTGGACACACATTCAACTTACAAGTGATTCTTATTTCCAACTGGGCGAGTGCACCTGGAGAACAAAGGTGCCCGCTCGCAAAGGCAGAATCACAAAGCTCTGAGGGGGGGAGGGGGGTTTGTTGCTGTTGCAATACCCTCCCTCCCCTCCTTGTTCTCGGAGCTGAGCTCGTGTGGCAGCTGTTCTCTTCAGTGAGAACCCTTCACTCTGCACGAGTGGTCCTGGACGTGGTTATTCTAATTATAATGAGGAACAACATGCAATTTGCCTGCGTTTTCAAGCGCCGGGACACGAGCTCGACGTCCCTTTGGTGCGTGGTTGTGGGCATATAGGCTGGTTCGAGTGGTTTACGGGGATCTATGGGTTCTCCGGGCAGTCAAACAGTCAGATGGCAGGACATGAGATTCATTTTTTTGTTCCTTTGTGGACCCCT